TTAAAGAACATTTGCGCAAGATCGTGCCAATGTAGACGTAGCCTTATAGTATAAGTGTGCAAAGACCAGAATTAGGATAAACATGCATACAATCTCTGCAACGAGAGGGGCATACAATCCAAAACGCACACAATCTAAGGGATAATCTCTCTTTTGGCAATCCTGTACAGTGACAGACTGATTTTTATTGCATGTTTTGGAATTTTGTTGAATTTTTTTATTTATGGTAGGGTGATTAGGAGATGGCACAAATAGGGTGTTAATGCTCTTTAAATTCTGTTTCATATTATATGATTGGTTGTTGAAGTGGGGTATTATTGCATAACTACTAGAATAAAATTATGATTCTTGGTATCTCCAGTTTTGATTTTTGTTTGTGTTTATGTAATTTTGCTTTATTTTCTTTTGACTTTATAGAGTGGGTGAGACTGATTTCCTCATAATTTCTACTTCCTCCCAAAAAACAGGTTACATCTTTCTTCTTCCTTCAGGCATTTGCAGCAAGCTCATCATTCCATGCCAAGATGTTTCCAATGTTGGCTTTCTTTGGAAATGCTATTCAGCAGCACTGTGAGACAGTCTCTATATAGTAATCATAATAGCTGTTCTTTTCTTTAAGATCAACCTGGTTCTGTCTATATAATCTGTCTATTTATATTTGAATTAGTTGCAATACTTAGTATTTTTAAAGCAGTTCAGAGCCTTTACCAAATTGAGTTGCTACAACATCCTCTGAGGTACGTTATTAACCTTTACAGTAATGCTTTTTATTTAAACTGAAGCAGCAATAATGTATGCCTTCATTGCAAGAGAGCATAGAGGATGCTACCTGTATGGTACATGCATAGATATGTTAGTCTTCAGAACCCCATTTAGCAGATCTTTTTCTATGAAAGGTGTTACCCAAACACTGATTTTGAAGCAGACTGGTTTCTTAAAGCTGATCTTTAAATAAACATAGATTTTTTTTTGGAGACTTCTGAGCCAGAGGTGGGCAGACAAATTCAGCTAAGGTAAATGGATTTGAACCTTTTCTCAAGCTTAAATTAGGTCCTCGCTGTTCCCATGTGTCCTAGAATCCCCACCTTGGTACTTCTGCCTTTGGAGATCTTGTGGGGCTTGGCAAGAGCTGCTCACGTTTTTGGAATGAGTATCTATTTGAGAGAATAGGGGATTCAAAGCACACTAGGAGGGTTTCTGCACATTTTGTTAGCATAGGTAAAAATATGCATTCATCCAGTTTGTGTAAGGCCTCAAATAACTATTTCCTGCTGCCTTATGGTATTTAGCAAATCTTCCTTCTGCATCTGAAACACAAAATGAGACTCAAATCCAGCAATGTATTTTGAAATATAATGGGCTCACTATTCCGACATCCCCATAAATCTCATTACATGAGGAGTAAGGGATGTTTAGGAATATCAGGTTATTTTGAAATGTGGTGCTGTGTAGACAGCACCACATTACAAAATAAACTGTTTCGAAATAAGCTATGCAATTTGCGTAGCTCAAATTTTGTAGCTTATTTTGAGCTTCGGGTGCAGTGTAGGTGCATCCTTAGGGTACGTCTACACTTGTTCCCTAGTTCAAGCTAGGGAATGCAAATGTAGGCGACTGAACTTGCTAATGAAACGGGGATTTAAATATCCCACGCTTCATTAGTGTGATCTCGCCGGCGTGTTACTCTGCTCAACAGCTGATTCGAACCAGGAAGTGCGCGCCGGGACGCGTTAGTTCAAACCAAACCCCCTAACGTTACTCCTCATTTTTTGTGGACCTAAAATAACAAAGCATTGACAGAATGCAGTTAACTCTGCTTCTCTAGGTGGAACTTTTAGGGTCCAAACAACTAAAGCAGTATTTGACTTTATTACTGTACTTGTCTACATCAATGTCCTTGTGAAGATGCATTTGGAATTAAAATCATATTTTAATTCTGTGCTGCCAATTCTAAACTGTTTTGAGCATTAACGTTCTTTAATTTGTATCTGAGGCAGCAACATGGGGTGCCAGGCGGGAGCTGTTCCGTGAGGGGAGCCAGTTTAAAAAACTGCTCCCCTTGCAGTCCAGCTGTCTGTAACCCTGTGCTGCAGCCTCTGATACATATACAGGGGCAGCAGTGTGGTGGTGGCAGCAGCCCCTTTCTGAGGGAGAGGGAGGCGATGCTGAGCTCCCAGATCCGGAACTGAGCTGGGCTGCCTGGCTCCTAACCACCGCTGCAGCTCTGCATTTAAAGTGTATAAGTCCCAAACCCGACGTGAACCAGGACTGAGCCAGGCTGCTGGACAGCCTGCTAAAAAAAACTTACTGGCAAGCCCGGAGCGTGGGGGGAGGAATGAGTGTAGTCCAGTGGTCTCCAACCTTTTGGGGTTGCTGGGCACCTGGGGGCAGGGACCACTCATGCGCCGGGTGCCCGGGGGTGGGGCTGCACATGCGCACGGGGCGGTGCCACCCATAAACTACACACCCAGGGTTGGCGCCGCTCCTGCGCCGCATGCCCAGGAGCAGGGCCGCCCATACGCTGCATGCCTGGGGCCGGCTCCGCTCCTATGCCGCGCGCCCAGGAGCTGGCGGCGCCGTTCCTGCGCCACACACCCAGGGCAGGGAGCCACCCATACACCATGTGCCCAGGGCCGGAACATACCATTCCCTGCGCGCCTGGGGGCAGGGCTGCTACCCATGTGCTGTGCACCTGGGGCTGGCGCTGCCCCTGTGCCGTGTGCCATGGGGCAGTGCCACCCATGTGCTGCCCATCCAGCTGGGGGGGGCCGCCCATGCTCCGCGCACCCAGGGGCCGGTGCTGCCCGTGTGCCCGGGGGCGGGGCCAGCCCCGATCACTTTGTGAGTGCACTGAAATGGCCCGGCGGGTTCCATGGCGCCTACGTGCACCACATTGGGGGACCACTGATGCAGTCTGTAGCATTAACCTATAAGCTTTTGCTTATTGGTTAAATTGACTACACTATTACATCCCTATCTGGAATAATATAGTCTTTCCAAATATTTGTATACACCTTTGCTTATAGAACTAAGTTAACTTAAATCTCGCTAAAGTTTGAATGCTTTCAAATTTTGCTAGGTTGAATTGTTTTAATAATTGATTCTAGCCCCTAACAAGGAATATTGGGTTGATCAGAGAATTATGGTAGTGTTCCTAACTAGTTCAGTTTGCTTTTCCTGAGTAAATGGAGCTCATCAATTCTATTTAACTTATTTCAACAAACATTCTTATGTTGCCCAATTTTCTTATTAGGTAACAAGTAACATCTTAAAATAACAAAAACAGTGCAAGATGTTTCCTCTCTATAAGTTAATCTTAGACATTTGTAATGATGTAACATTTTCCTAACTAGATCAGCAATAGTAAAACTTGAATTATTTTCTATAGGAAAACTTTTTTAGTGCCTGGAGCCAGACTGAAATGTGCCCAGCTTTGCTTTTGTGGGTGGACTTCATAATTGGGATGTAAAATCCTGTTTTATTGGCTAATAAAGGCTGGGCTGGAGAGCCCCACCTTCCCCTCCCCAACACCACAGGCAGAGGCTGCTCCACTTTGGCCCTGTCTGCGGTGGGTCTGGGTGCATCACAGGCAGGGGCTGCCCTAGTTGTCTGGGGCCTGCAATGGACAGAAGCTGCTCCCATGGAGCATCCTCTGCCTGTAGGGCACCCAGATAACTGGAAATAGCTCTTGTCCCTGGTGGGCCCCTTGACTTGTGCCAGACATTTTTCTGCTGTGATTTTGGATGCCACCCAAGTTTCCTTCTGGTGGACAACTTGAATAAGGGTTTTACTTGCCAGTCAGTCTAGATATTCTGTGGTGGAGGAGGTGAGATACTGAGGAAGATAATCTGTTTTCTTTCAGTGGTATTGCTTCAAGGAATTCTTAAATTAGACTGGGGTTGGCAACCTTCAGCATGCAGACCATCAGGGTAATCTGTTGGCAGGCTGAGACACATTTTGTTTATATTGACCATCAACTGATATGGCCATCCGCAGATCCCTGGGACCCTGCTTCATTGTTCCGGGCCAATGGAAGATGTGGGTAACTTGTGGGAGTAGATTTGTATTCTATAATCTAGATTCATTAAAAAATGATTACTTCATTCCCACTGTTAGAGATCATAGGATCATTTTATCTTTGATAGCTGTGGTTCTTGTTGACTTGTAGCAAAACTTCCAGCCAGTCCCTCTTTGAGATTGGAGAGGGTGCTGAGAGCAAGAGAAAACTTAACATCTTTGGTACTTCTTCATAAATCCCTTACGGTACATCTACATTGCAATGCTATTCCGAAATAACTTAGTCCACATCTACAACAGGCAGTTATTTTGAATTAAGTCCTCTAGCTTGATAGTATTTTAATGTTCCTACTCCAACTCCTTCATTGTACGAGGAATAAGGGAAGTCAGAGGAAGACTGCTGGATTTCGAAATAGATGCTGTGTGGACGCTTCCAATTTTGAAATAAGCTATGCAATTGATGTAGCTCAATATGCGTAGCTTATTTCGAGTTAAGCTGTATCGTGTAGTTGCACCCTTCTGTGCATGTCAGTCCTCAGGTAAAGTATTGCCTGTGGCATTTTACCTGTTCTTTTGATTTTTTTTTTTTTTGCCATTTTTATCTGGAGATATTGGGGGAATCTCACTACTTGTGTCGGGTACAGGCTGGTTCTGAATCCAGAGGCTAGCCCTATTGGTATCTTTGGGTATTTCCTTGGTATACGTTTGGTGAATCTAAAACATTTTTTGAATTTGTTCTCACATAGTATTTTAACAATCCCGTGCCTTTTCTTTTGGGCTGCTTCTAACAATGTTGGGAATTCTGGAAAACAGAATAACCTTTAGTCATAGTCTTTATAAGGTGCAAAATACATGCCAAGCACTTCAGGTTTTGTAGACTGTAGCTATCCCACAAAAAATACTTTTTCTACTTATTTGTGGCTTTCTGATCAAAGGCTACAAAAAATAACATTCACCGTTTCTTTTCCTTTTGTAACTTGCAGGTGGCGACAGACAAGGTTGCAGGAAAGCTGAGTTCTACTCTCTCATGGGTGAAGAACACTGTATCACACACTGTCAGTCAAATGGCCAGTCAGGTGGCAAGTCCATCTGCCTCCTTACACACTACATCCTCCTCTACCACTCTTTCTACTCCAGCACTATCGCCATCCTCACCAACACGGTTGAGTCCAGATGACTTGGAATTATTGGCTAAACTAGAAGAACAGAACAGGTGAGTTGGGTAACATGGTTTTACTATTTTGCTCTTGAAATTGTAAAATGAGAACTAAAATAGACTTAATAAAACTACAACAGAGAACCTATTAAAACGTATAATAGTAAGGTTTTTCCTGGACCAATATTTGACTCTATTTAAAACTGCTATTTGAAGGGGAAAGTTTGCATTTTAAATATTCTTAATCTGGGATTTTCAAGAAGCATCTGCTTTTGATGAACCTCTAAAACATCATTTGTTAACTTTTCTAGCTTTATAGAAATAATTAAACATGGTTTCTAGAATTTCACTGACTGCTGATGTTGGAGCCGATGAGATTCTGGGTTATGGTTTAAAGAGGAATGTCTCAAATCCCAATGCTTTCATATGGCCTGTTCCTTGGTTTTTGATTATACCAATGCTGGCTTTTAAACCTTTGTGAAAGGACTTGTGATTCTTGAGCAGTCTCGTTTTATCCTTCTCCCATGCTCACTGGAGCTTGTCCAGAGAAGCCTCTAAATGAGCCAGGATACAAAGACTCTTTAATGTAATCAGTAGCACCTCAGGCCTAATTGTGAGATTAACTAGTTTTAATCAGGCCTATTAAATTCTCTAATCCATTTTTCTGTGAATTATAGTCAGAGGTCCAGACACTCTGTTAAAGTGACATTTTAAGAACATGTTCTCAGCATCTGATGTAAAAGCATGGGCATTAAAGCACAGATACATTAATTTAGCAAACAATTTTCAGATGGCTTTAAAAATTTTCCATAAATGGAATTATCTCTTATCCCCCCGTGTCTTGTTTTTACAGGTTGGTTTGCAGTATTTCTCCTTATTTCTTGAAAACTGGTCATTTTTATTTTATCTACAGTGAAATTTATGTACATTTTACTAGATCTTTATGATTGGTTATCGTACAATAGGCAAGAAGGGGTCCCATTGCTTATCTTCCTTCACGCAACTTATACCAAGTCTGCTTTTTTTATGTCAAGATTACACTAAGGAGAGAGTTGTTGCAGCCATCAAGATAAATGCTGTGTATTGTACAAAACCTTGAATCTGTGCTTTAAAAAAATCTAACTGCTCTTTAGAAGTAAAGATTTGAACTCTGAACCAAGGAAGCTATTCTTATTTATGCTCACTAGAAAAATTGCTGCTGGTGAAATCTTTAAAAATTCAGATTTCTCTGTGTCGGAGAAAAATTGACCTACACAAGAAGATGGAGGATATAGATGGAGTAAAAAGTTCAGGCTACAGTGAAAGAAGCCAAAGGAGAAGTGACACACAAAAAACTTAAGTTTCTACAACCAAATATATGGTTTTAACTTGTATAAAAAGTAAACAGTTTTTCTAATTTAAGAAGGCTGCTTCCGAAGTGTACTCGAGTGGTGCAGTCCAGAGTACCAAAGGATTTGTTTGTAGATAGTAAATCATTGATAGGGTTTTACAGGCACCTAAGCAGTTTGTGTTCTGTCTTACAACATAAAGAAACTACGTGTTACGAATCTGATGGATTCAGTAAGGTAAGGTTCAAATTATAATAGAAGTGGAGTAGAAATGTTAAAAACTAAGGACAAAGAAAATATAGATGGTCAAAACCATTAGGCTATTGCAATCTTAAAATGTTATTCTGTGTTTTAAAAGAACATGTAGCTTTTCTTGTTTGGAATTTGATTATGCTAGTATGGTGTATGTTTAGAGAAACCTTTCTAGTTTTAAGTCAGTAGTGGAACATGGTAGGAGTGCGTTTTTCATTAAAACCTAGCCTACCATGTTCTATTACAGATTTACATACACAGTGCAACTGGCAAGTGATTCTGTTCACCTCAACTTTGTGGTTTTCTGTGATGAGACTTGTTTCATTTTCTTGGGGCTAAGTCCAGATTTAAACTTCTGCAACTATTGAACTTAAAGGGACACACTTCTGCTTCTTGAAGCCTTTTGTTCAAAAGTTACATTATAACTAAAAATAATGAAGCTGCAAAGGTCACACTTGTGGTAAAATGTTTCTTTTTATGGATTAAATCACATTCTGATATATGCTTTGTTTACAAGGTACTTAGGATATTTTGTAAATACTAATGGGCAGGAACAGAGAAGTGGAAAGACAGTGTAAATACCTGACTAAATGTTTCTTCTAGCTGAGCACCTAGATGTGTAGGTGCACTGAGATTTATGGACATATATGGTCAACACTGTCCAAGAATTATAATTTTCTGATAACAGCTCAACCTCATTCATATGGTGGTTAGATGTTACTTTTTAGCACAGGGACATTAGAATTTACTCAACTCATCATGTCTTTGGCTTTCATAATAATCACCCTTTCCTAAAAACACAGCTCCAATGCTAAGTGAAAATGAAACCTACTACGTATTCTCTTGACTTTCAAATGTAGTCAGATCTCGTTTCTATCAATACTTAGACTGAAGTTAATGGATTCATTTTTATTATAAGGCTCATTGCTAGTTGAATATAGGTAGATCTTAAAACCCAGTACCTGCAGTCCCTGAACTTTTCACCAAATCAGAAAGCTAACAATCTAAGCTCAGTAGTTGCGCCTCTGTTCCTCGCCAGACAGAGACTATGGGCACAATAGAGAGTTTACAGTGTTTCAGCCACATCAGTGCAGGCACACTGCTCAGCAAGCTCCCTAATGTAGCCACTCTAAGAAGAGATGTGAGAGTTCTGTTGACTTAACTACTCCAACCCCATTAACAGTTGTAGCTATGTCACTTCATTTACAGTTACAAAACCATGTTAACTAAAACTGTTTGAATGAAAGTCTCTGTTGGATACATTCTATGAAGAGAAGGTGAAAGAGTTGACGTACCACCTTTAAACAATCCAGTTATCAGCAATTATGCAATCCAATGTTAGAAGACTTGTAACTAGCTTTGTATTTTGCAGACTGTTGGAGACAGACAGCAAATCCTTGCGTTCAGTAAATGGATCAAGAAGAAACAGTGGTTCCTCCCTTGTATCTAGTTCATCCGCTTCGAGCAACCTCAGCCATCTGGAAGAAGATTCCTGGATGATTTGGGGAAGAATTGTAAATGAATGGGAAGATGTACGCAAAAAGAAAGAAAAGCAAATTAAGGTATTGGTCCATGTTGAAGGACACTTTTCATAGTGCAATGCAACTGGTGTTATTTTGTTTATTCTTCCATGATTATAGGGAAAAAATGATAGAAATTTCTAACTGAATCGATTTTTTTCATTCTGAACATCAATCCTATTTATGTAACTGTCAAAATTATGTTCCCAGTCTGTGTTAATGGGATGCCAGATATATATATTCAGTACATCTCGAATATTGAGCATTTTAAATTAAATCTCCCATTGGAAATGGATTGCAAACTAGAAAGGATTCTTCATTCTTTTCTGAGGGTCCCCGTGGGTACTCCACTTAGGTGTGTCAGCGCTGCTGCGCACACAGCCCAGAGATCTTTGCTAGCAGTCTCCCAGCCACTGGCGTGTGCTGTGCTATTGTGCAATCACTCAGACTGACAGTTAGGCATGTGCCGGCGACTATTCCCTCAGTTCCTTCTCTACCACTGCCGGCATTGGTCACAATTAGTCAGTCTCCCTAACAGCATCAAAAGGAAACAGAAAGGGGGGGGGGAGGAAGAGAAGAGAAAACAGGAAAAGGATAACAACAGAAAGCAAAGCAGGTGAAGCGGCGCATGGGCATCCTTGCTGTGTCCCGCTTGCTTAAGAGACAACCAAAAAAACCAACAAACAAAACAACCTGGGACGGCAATCGCAGCAGCAGATGGGCACGAGCAGTGCCTGCACTGCCTAGGGCAAGACCATCCTCCCAGTCTCTGCCTGCATTGTTACAAGCTCTCCCCATGCTCTCAGAGAGCGACAGAATTACATACAAGACTAGTATTTTGGACAATGACTAGTATTTTGAAATGAGTAAAAGACTAGTATTTTGAATGAGCTGAGTCACAGCCTCATTTGACCTCACCTTGTTCATGGTGTCTCTTCTATGGCGACACAGAACAATCACTGGAGACCCCAGGAGCGTTATTTGACATACTCGGGCTCTTACTGAGTTTGGCAAAGTGTGCCCTCACTCCTACCTAGAGTCGGGAGTTTATAGGGGCACAGTTGGCCTGCACTCAAGGCATAGCCTCACTGCGGGACCCATAGATGGTTGAGAATGCGCGACTTGATCGTGTACATACAGAGTGGCTCGCATATCATGGCACGGACATTCCTGCAAATACTTGGACACATGACAGTGTCCACGTTTGTGGTCCTGAACGTCCATCTCCATATGAGGCCATTCCAGGCATGGCTAACACTCCATGTACTGCCTCAGGCACAACCCACTCCACCACACAACCCATGTGCCCAGCCGCGTCAGAGCCACCTGAAATTGGTGAACAGACTTAAACAACGTTGGTATAGGACTTCCACTTCAGACGTGACTTCATCCGTCACTGTCATGACAGACGCGTCCCTGCTGAGACGGGGCACCCATCTAGGGAGTGTGATATTACAGGGGCAATGGACAGGCAAGGAGTCCCAGCTTCGCATCAATGTGCTGGAGCCCAGAGCAGTCGGGGGGCATGCTCCAAACTGCTTCTGCACATACAACAAAAAAACATAAGGATGTTGTCGGACAATGTTGCAATGACATATTATATAAACAGGCGGGGGGGGCATGAGGACTCGCAGCCTATGTGCAGAAGCAATGGAACTATGGCAATGGTGTATTATGCACAAAGTTGCACCTACTGCTATGCATTTGCCAAGCAAGGACAGTGTACTAGCGGATGCCCTCTGCATACAATTCTCACGGAACCACAAATGAGTGATCAACAAATCTATCATAACTACCTTTTCAGGAGATGGGGATACTCGGTAGTAGATTTGTTTGCAATGCACTTCAACTCCAAGTGCCCCCTGTATTATTCCAGAGGGGCATTGGACCACAATCTCTAGGAGATGTGTTTACAATAGGCTGGGATTTCCCACTAGCTATTCCACTTATATGTCTAATACACCAAATGGTAATACAGGTCAAACGGGGCAGCATGGGTCATACTCATAGTCCCGATTGGCCAAGACAGATTTGGTACCCTACCATACTCCAACTCAGCACACGTCAGCCATACAAGTTTCTCCCGATACAAACTCTCTTGACTCAGGACAGGGCATATACCATGCCCCTGGCTACGTACACTAACTCTGCGAACCTGGATGCTTGTTGGCTCTCACACAAAGAGCTAACCCTGTCTCAGTGTCAGAGACATCCTAACTATCATAATTAATTCCAGGAGACAAATTACAAGATGAATTTACCTGCAGGAGTAGGCCAGATTTGCAGTCTGGAATTTGGCTCAGACACAGGATCCACACAAGGCAGGGATTTCGGACATTCTAGGCTATATCCTTCACCTGCAGGACTATGTGGGGAACCTGGCTAACAGATTTAATGAGTGTTAATGGCATATCTTTTCAGTGAGCTTTCTTTTGCTTTTCACCCATCTCTACTAGTAAAGTTAAACTGTGCTAATGTAGATACAGGGCATAGTAGTATGCAACAGCTTCCCGTTAATGCCAATGGGCATTATTTTGGCTGCAGAGAATCTTCAGATTTGGCTGACACTGAGTTGTAGACCTGGATACATTTTTGAGGCTCTGAATAGAATTGTACATTATTTTTTCAGGCAGGTTGACACATGTTGTATCCTAGACTCTTTCATCCACTTCAAAGCATGAACTTGGGGGTAACCCTGAAAGATGACCTTAGGGATTCCACCTTTTAGTATCCTTAGTGTGCATAAAGAAAGATGCTATGCCTGTTGCCTAGCGCAGTGTTTTCCTTATATACACCCAGCTGCTACTACTGTTTCTTCAGGTGTGTGGGAAAAGTGAATCTTTGTTACCTTGGAGAGTACGTACATAATTAACTTAATTCAAGGAGACATGGGGAGATAACCCTCCCCTGCCACATTGAGCATAAGGTGTAGAGGTCCAGGGGATCTGGTAGAATATTGTTGGAAGTTTAGGGGCAGAGTTACCACATGGGGGCAGGATGTGAGGATGTATCATAAAAGGCTTCCATGTATTGATGGGAGCATAGCTGGCTCAGAGCTGCAAAGATACTCCTAAAGTGGAGCTAAAGAGAGGCCTGGCTCCTTTGGGGAGATTGAAGGGCTCAGTTCAGTGCTACTGTGCTTCAGAACAGCTCCTGCTGTAGTGGAGATACATTCCTTTTCTTCTGGACTTCACCAAGAAACAGTGTAACTCTTAAAAACTGTTACTTTTAAAACTGCCCTTGCTCTTGGAAACTTCCAGAAGAGACTGTGCTGAGGGGGATTTTTATATATTCAAAAACTGTAATGTGATGTTAAATTGAAGACCTGGAAATTAAAAGTACCTATTCAACTTTCACAGGATTTATCCTCTAAATTAATGGGGCGTTAACTGCAAGGGTGTTTGAAATCAGCATTATAATAATGCGTTCAACCTCAACTATGAAAAGATTGCTTCTTCATAATAATTCTTTACATAAAGCAATGACAGCCACTGGTTATTTTTTCTTTTTATCATTTTGATATTTTATTAGTGCAAGGCATACTGAAGTAAAAGGTTATTCTGTTTCAAGAACCTATACAAGAAAGATTAGATGAAGTGCTAGAAAATGCACATGAAAGAAACTATTTTGCAATGTTGAGGGAATGGCTTTGTGGTTTGTGGTTTAAGAATCCATGCAGTTCTTAAACTTCCTGAGCCTATATCTTGTTTTAAAAGCGCATGAAGCAACCAAACCCCTTATCACTCAGTATTTCTTGACAGATTTGGAAATACTAGTCCCATACTAAAGTGCCTACGGAATGAGGCAGAGTATGTAAGTTGTTAAGGGACCCAATAAGTTTCATGTATACCAATTTATTCAAGAGAAGATTGTATTGTATAATAGCTGTCTGTAGCTAATTTTCTTTTGTGAAAATTTGTCCTAGAACATGGAACCAAAAAAGTCAGAGAACCTGAACATACAACCTTCTTGCTTCACCTTTGTCTCTGAATTCATTTTCTAATACCTTTAAAAATATATGAAGCACTGACACCTGAAATGAATAAAAATATCTAGAATTTCCTGTAGATACTGACTCTAGACAAGCAGACCTCTTATCTAAATAATATAAAAATAGGATTTTTGTACCATATTAATGTTGTAGCGTAACATGCCTAAAATGGTAAAAGGTTGGCAAATAACACTATTAGCTAATCATACTATGTAATAATTTTGTTAGTGTTAATTACACTTTTAAAATGTTAGCTCCTAGAGGATTATTGCAGCCGAAGACTTCTCATCTCTGAATCAAAGGTTACAAATGCAACAGGGTGTTGTCATTTGAAGGCATTTTTGGTGGAACATTAAAATAAGGGTGCCAGTTAAGTTCTGGTACTTAATAGCCATGTGGTGGTGCTTGAAAGTATGTACAACTGCTTAGATACTCATAAGATAGATATCCTAATTTGAGAAGTAATTGTATTCGTGAGTCTATGCCCTCCTGAAAATACATGTAAAAAGTGTTTAAATTGCATAATAATCATAGTCTCGGAGCATCTTCTTGGTCAATACTCCCTTCTTTTTGCTATTCAGTGGAAACAAAGCTGAGTATAAATGTCAGTGCAACTAAACATCCATCCATCTCTAAGGCTTTGTGTACACTAAATGGAAGATCTGCTGCCGCGGTCAATCTTCTGGAGTTAGAGTTAAGATTGGCTAAATCAAACGGAGGGCTCCCTGGCTACATCTAGTACTCCTGCACTTGCCAGGAATAAGGGAAGCTGACGAGCATTTGCTCCCATCAGTTCTGCTGTGGAGACAGACAAGCTCAGCTTAAGGTAAGCAACTCCAGCTCCATAGAATACGTTGTTGGAGTTGCGTACCTTAAACCTAGCTGTTGGGTCTAATTTAGACCTGGCCATGTTTAATTGTAGATTAAAGTGCATATTATGGAGACTATAACTGTTTTATGATCTACTTTTCCTTTATAAACCCACTTAGGTCATGAGAAATTTCCTTCAATGAAATTATATGTTAAATGTTTGTTTAGAAATGTTTTAGTAATTTACGTATTTATACTGTATGAAGCAATAATGAGTTTCCTTTCCTTTTTCTTATGCTTCAGGAACTTGTTCGAAAAGGGATACCTCATCACTTTAGAGCAATAGTTTGGCAGCTTTTATGCACTGCTCAAAGCATGCCAATAAAGGATCAATATTCAGAGCTTTTGAAAATGACATCTCCTTGTGAAAAACTGATAAGAAGGGACATTGCTAGAACATATCCTGAACATGATTTTTTTAAAGAAAAAGACAGTCTTGGACAGGAGGTTTTATTTAATGTTATGAAGGTAAGTTAATGATTGTTCTTTTTGAATATATGGTATTGAACATGGATGGAGGCTTGAAAAATATTCATGGAGCTTAAACTTGCATAATTTTTAAGAGCCTCTAGTTTTTGGCAATTGGACTTTCAAGGCTGTAACAGAGTATAAAAATGGTTGTTACCTCTGGATAGGGCAGTTTCAAAGACGGCTTGCAGATATTTATATTTTTAGCTATTTATTAGCAGTAGAAAATATTTACTTGATTACCTTAGATTAAGATAATATCAAAACTAAATACTAACAACATACTGAAAATACCTTGTGCTGAAAAGCAAAACAAACACTGATACTGGAACGGTTAACAAAACTTTGAAAATTAGAAGTTCCATTTAGTCTGCAAGGAATCATGTTGAATCTAGGTGTTGCACAAAGTGAAGGGAAACATCCATACTGATCTGAAGTTTACATTGCTGAAGCACAAGTTGACTTTTGGATAAATTGTTACCCTGAAGATAGAATTTTGTGACATTGATTAGCTGACTTCATTATTTTAGGGCCTAATTTAGAAAAGATTTTCTAGGCCTTAGTTTTATGAAGTCTTTATTGAGCAAAAAAGTTGGTCAGCTGCCAAATCCCATAATCCAATAACCCTCAGATTCTGTAAATAAAAGCTAAAGAGTCAACAGAATTTATGAAAACTGTCCTCCTCTTAACTCCATAGCATTTGCTCTTCAATGAAATGTGCCTGTCCTCCCCCCCCCTTAACTCCATAGCATTTGCTCTTCAATGAAATGAGCCTGTCCTCTCCCCCGCCCCGTCCCCCCCAAAATAGCTGTGCTTTAGACAAAAGCTACTCTCAGTCTATCTGTAGGCCAGGCTATGTCATTGCAAGCATAGGCGTGTGCAGCACATTTCATTAGGGTGTGCACCCAAAGAATTTTTTTAAATGTACTTTGACCCCCCATTAGCCACACCCCTGACCCCTGTTAACCATGCCCCTGGCCCCCATTAGCCACGCCTCTGGAGGTAACCCTCTCCGGGCAAGATGGGCACATGACTAAAAGTAAGAAGTGTTATGTGACCTTTCCCTCCTTCTTCCCCCCCAGGACTGTTCCCACCATCCTCCTACCAATAGAGATTAGTTTGGCCCCCACCAACTCCCCCCTCCATATGCAACTATCGGGCAATTGCATTTACCCAATGTGTGTGACAGTAATGCGGGGGTGGAGGCTGGGGGGAAGTGTTCCCTGTAAGAGTTTCCTCCCATGAGCAGAATGAATTTTGTGCTGTGCACCAGTACTCAGTTCATGTGGCTTGTTTGGATGTGCCATTGTGGCACCCAAGTTATTAATAAATATCTACCTTTGCACTCTGCTGCCATGTCTACTCTCCTTGCTCCATCAACTCCCCTGGTACCTGCTGCCCCCCAACCCTTCACCCTCCTCTGCTGTCCTAACTCCTGCCCTTCTCACTGCCCTTAGCCTTCCTGAGACCTGCCCCCCTCCATCAGCCCTACTCTGCCCCCTGTGCCCACTCTTCCAATAGCCCCACTCTGATCATGTGAGCTACCTCTCCTCATCCCCTCTCCTAACACCTCCCTCTACACACCTGCCTTGCCTCTCTCCTCTGGTGCTGGTCCCTCCCCTGCAGGTGTCTGCCCTTCTGCTTCACCTCCAGAATCTCCTGGCTCTTACACCTTCCTTTACCCCTGCAACCTCCTAGTGCCTCCCCCTTCCCTCACTGCCCCTGCCCCCTTTTCCCTTTTTCCCTGATGCCCACCCCCTCACCACCCTTTGCCCCCATTCCCCTCATGCTCCTGTGCCCTCACACATGACTTGCTCCAACCCCACCTACCTCATGCCTTCCCCTTCTGTCAAGCCTTCTCCCAGCACCTCCCCCTCCAATCCCCAATGCCCTTACTCTCTCCTCTTTCAGCATCACCCTGTCCCCGTCCTACTGACACTTCCCCTCCTGCCCTTTTCCTCATTGTCTCCACTTCACCCCCTAGCATTTGTCTCCTCTACCTTGTCCTTTTGGTGCCTTCCCCTTTCTTCCCCCTCTCCCCTCCCTCTGCATACAAGCCCCTTCCACCTCTTCCCCTTTCTTCCTCCTCCACCCTCCCCCACTGCAAATGCCCCTTCCTCTTATTTCCCCCCCCCCTTACCTTCAGCTTCTGCCTTACAGCTTGTAGGGCTGGAGTCAGAGCCAGCCCAAGCTGCAGGGCCGGGGAGGGGCACCCCCGGGGCGCCACACAGTGTTGTAGGGCGGGGCCCGGGCTGCCGTCTGTAGTCAGGCCCCAGCTGCTTTTGGAGCTGGGCTGCTGGGTTTTAAAGTTCCCGGCGTTTCCCCTCTCACCTGTTGCATGGCGTTTGAGAACGCTGTGCTTGGGCTCTCTCTGCCCCACAGTGCCCAGTAGATGGCTGCGGGGAATTTAAAGTGAGGGGCTGTGGCGCTCTGTCACAAATTCCCCTCTTCCTCCAGCACCTGCTGGCTGGCCCCAGACGTTAGGGTGTGCCTGGGCACACCCTGTGCGCATGCCTATGATTGCAAGTGTAGGCATTCCGGATGACTGGAAGAGAAGAAGTGATGGTGTTGTGCAACCTGTTGCCCAGATATATCTTCCTAGAATTAACAAATTCCTCTGGTTGAAGACTGCATGCATCCCCTTGAAAAGGGGGTCACAAAAATAACATGAAACGAGTCTATTCTCTGCTGGCATAGGGAGCATTTCAGCTCATTTCTCTGAAACAGAATGCTGACACTAGATCATTTGATATCTGAATAGAAATTCTGTAATTGATTAGGAATTTAGAGAAGGAAGGGTATTCTGAAGGCCAGATTTGTTGAAATGTCTGCAGGGGCTATGGTAGCATGAATGTTGCTACCTTACTATCATGATGTTCTTTAGGCAAGCTGGGGAGCGGAAGTCATTCCAGCCGTCTGTCATACCTAGCGGAGTTAAAGGAAAAATGATTGATGTAAACTGGCCTTGAACAGAGCAAACAACTAGGAAACAGCCTGGCAAACATGAAGCTTTGGTCTTCAACTTCACAAGTAAAATGTTAGTTAATTTAGGAGACATTTTGAAACTGCTTAGCGGAGAGCCCTTTTTTTGACTCAGTTGAGGATAGGAATCTAGTTCCTGAACATGGGCACAGCTTTGAGTGACTGTTTCCATATACAATCAAGAACTTTACAAATATAATAGCTGTGTGGTTGACATAGGAGTTAGTCTTGCTACACTAGAATCCATTAAAGACAGAGCAATATTCAAAATATTCATTCCAGAATGAATATCTTTGAAACCTTTAATCTACCCTTGGATGCTTGCTCTTTAGATGCCGATCCAAAATAGCTTCAGTTGTCAGATGACTGCTCCAACAGGAAGAACCATGTCTGTTTTCTTTCAGAGGTTCACCAGTCGAGTGTTATGTTCAGTTTAAGCACGAGTCATTTTTCTTGTCATTTTAAGATTCTGCCAACTGAAAAGGGTGAATAAAAGTTGACCTACTTTTAGCAGCTAGAAACAAAAGTAGAAAAACAGCAACCGGTGTGAAAATAAGCATGCTTTCAAAATCTTAAAGATTTTTTTATCTTCTAGGCTTATTCTTTAGTGGATCGTGAGGTTGGATACTGTCAAGGAAGTGCTTTTATAGTTGGGCTGCTGCTTATGCAGGTAAACCAAGAATTACATCAAATGTTTGTAACTTATGTTTTACTAGACTGCAGAACATGGCACAGTACCATGAGATGGGATTTTTTTTTCTGTGATTTCCTTTTCCAGAACCTCGTCATGGCAGTGGACTGCCAAATACTTCACTAGTCAAGGACATTTAAAGTTATTTAACAAAATCAAATTATTTTTTGCTTTCCTTGCTTCTGTCCTTCCCTTTGTATAAGAAGTGACCTTTTTCAATGAAGAGGAAACACTTATTTATTTCTAAACTTGGGTGACCACAAAGTTTAATTGGAATTATTAATGTACCAAACTTCAGAGCTGTTTCTTTCATTCTTAGAGCCATACTGCTCTAGAATAGAACAGGTTTTATAGACTGGAAGGCCAGAAGGGACCATTGTGATTATCTAGTCTGGCCTTCTATATTAATCATAGATCATCTCTAAAATAATGCCTATAGCCGTATTTCTTAGGAAAAATTTCTTCTTGATTTAAAAATCAGTGATGGAGAAAATATTGTAATTCCTTGGTACATTGTTCCAATAGTTATTCTCACTGTTTGAAAATGTTTACCTTAATGCCAGTCAGATTTGTCTACTTCAGCTTCCAGCCATTGAATTGTTTCAGTCTTTCTCTGCTAGATTGAAGAATCCATTATTAAATGTGTTTCCTATGTAGATTATTTTAAGTTCATTGTCAGAACAGGGACATGTAATTCTTTTGGCTAATTTAAGTAGTTATGTAGTGTCTTGCTGGGTAAACCATAATAAGTGTTATAGTCCCCTTTAAAATGTTTTTTAAAAATTGAGCAAAAAATTTGGCTTGTCACCAAAAGTTTTCATCGTGACTTTATTTCTAATATAGATGCCAGAAGAAGAAGCATTTTGTGTGTTTGTCAAATTAATGCAAGATTACAGACTTAGAGAACTCTTTAAACCGAGTATGGCTGAGCTGGGCCTTTGTATGTACCAGTTTGAATGCATGATACAGGTAACTGTATGTTTGGGTATGTATGTATAGCATCTTACATAGTTATTTGTCTACTTCAGTTGTGTACTTTCAGTACAAAATATTTTTGCAGATATTGGGCAAAAGCTTTGATCATAAGCTGTGCTTAAAGCAGATAAAAAAACTGAAAAAGGAACTTGTAGTGAATGAGTCAGGTAAAAGGGGGAGATTTACTTTTTTTCCTAAGGAATTGTTAGTATTTACAACTGTAGAAATGACTATACTAGATCAGACTTGTCCATTTGCTTTGTAATGTCGCTGACAATGGGTGGTTTCAGAGAAAGATGCAAGAAATGTAATTTGCCTGCTATGTGCTTCTTATCCCCAGTCATGCAGTAGCTGGTTTGTATAAATCCTCATGTAATAGAGTACCTGTTATTTTTAATCTTTTTCTTTGTAATTGTACATAATCCGTATACACACCTATACATTTTTTGTAGTTTACGAATTCTTCTGTGCATGTCAGTGAATTTTATCCCCATTAACTGTAGGAGATGGCATTAACTCTTGTTTAATATGTACTTTCTCATTTTCTCTACCAGGAACAACTACCAGAGCTTTATGTGCATTTTCAGTCTCAGAGTTTCCATACTTCTATGTATGCTTCATCATGGTTTTTAACTATCTTTCTTACAACTTTTCCACTACCAATTGCAACAAGAATATTTGATATCTTTATGTCTGAGGTAAGCAAATATCTGTAATACTTTCACCACCCCACAAGAGATATTAATTTCTGTCATTTAGGTAGTGGTATAAATTCTACTTCTCTGAGGGAGTCTTGCATGTAGATTTGAAAGAAAGCATGTTTTTATTTCATTGTTTTGTTAGGGAACCAGTCTTTCTTGCTATATATTTTGTGAAGTACAGGCAGTCCCCGGGTTACGTACAAGATAGGGACTGTAGGTTTGTTCTTAAGTTGAATCTGTATGTAAGTCGGAACTGACTTACATACAGATTCAACTTAAGAACAAACCTACAGTCCCTATCTTGTACGTAACCCGGGGACTGCCTGTATTGTTTCTAGACATTGTTTCTCACCTAATACATAGAAAGCATGTGTTTGGGGTTGGTTTTTTTTTTGTTTTGTTTTGTTTTACAGCATAGCTGTCAAATAAAGATATATGGCTGTCTTGACTCATAGGGACTTATAGATAGTTTTGAGAGAGACTGTCAAGGCTGATATGCCTACAATTAAATCTTTTGGGACTTAGTGGCTAAATTGCTGTGCTTTAATTCTTTTACATTCATGACAGCCACATAAAATTAGGAAATTCTGTTCTGAAAACCTGTTGTTATTTTCTAAAGGAAAATTGGAGACCCAATAAGTCAATCAAACTTTTAAATCTGAATTGTTTAAAACATCTGTAAGTGAAAATGCACATAAATTTGCATTTATTTTTATATATAATCTTTCAGACTGAGAGATCCACAAGCACTTCACAAATGATGTGTATTGAAGACACCATATACTGGTCTTTAAAGCATAAGACTATGAGTTAGGAGACTTTGGGACTGATTCAGACCTCATCTTGGAGGAATTTAAACTTGGGTTTCATGTATTTCAAGAGAGCACTCTAGCCACTGAACTATGGGACGTTCTGGTCTTTTTCAGGCTCTCCTGTCAAAAGTTCTTCCACTTGAATTAATAATTAACTAGACATTGGAGTAGGGGCTTGAAGTTGGGTCTTTTATAACCTAGGTGAGTATCCTAACCACAGAGCTATAGAGTAATCTCATATTTTTTCCTCTGGACCAATGACTATTTATTGTCATTCATAGTAGCAATTAATAGTATTTTATAATTTGTTTATAAAAGTGGAATACCTTTGGGGAGAGAGAGTGAGACACCCATACCAAAATATTCCATAATCTAATGGTTAGCACAGTCTCCTGCAACTTATATATTTTGGATGAGCTTATGTCACAGAGCAGAAGTCTCAAAGCAGGGAAAGCAGTGCAATGTTAACCAAACCTAACACATGTTCTAGATGACAGGCAGCAGTGGTTTGTAGTAGAAAAGTGTCCACTTAACAGCTAGAACGTCAGACTCTTTTCCATAAAGAAATGGAGTTCAATGGGCAGAAATACCGTATTCTGGTCAAAGTTGAGAGAGCTTGAGGAGGCATAGGAAGTGTTGGAGGCCTGCACAGCAGCTGCCTGGTGATGATCCATCCTATGATACAACCCTGTGGGAACTGATCTTTTTATACTTCAGGGGGTAACATTTCTCTCATTAAATGCGGCTTCTCCAGACTCCCAACTTCTAGAGCCATTATGTGCCTATGCACATATTATCAATGCTGTAAACATATCAAACATCCCCTATAGATACAAACCACTACTGAAATAGCTAATTGAATTATTTCAGAAATGGTATAATATAGATAAATTATCTTTTTTGAAAGAGAGGTGCTCTATTTTTACCAACTAGTTCATACAAGGCTTTACTATACATATTCAGCCATTAATACCCTTTGTCTCTGTGGGCTTACTTCACCAGCCAATTAAAAGCTGCCACTTCTGAGGTGGGTATAGTAACTTTTTAGCAGTGTTAATCTTCACTCTTTAATTTAGGGTGAGGTGAAAAATACAAGGCAGACTAACTAAGGTGGTATTTTAGGAAAGCATATTGTCACAACTTAATCTGGAACTTGGCCAGGATGCTAGCCCAGCTCTCTGTCCCCTTGTGTAAACTGGTATTGTTCTATATGGTTGACAATGCCTTAAGGAATTCTTGGATTTTATTTTTTTTTAAACTTCTATTTCCAGGGTTTAGAAATAGTATTTCGTGTAGGTTTAGCTGTTCTTCAGATGAACCAAGCAGAATTAATGCAACTTGACATGGAAGGGATGTTACAGGTAAATTAAACTTACAGTCTAGTATTAAAAGCTCATTTGAAAGCCACGAATATATGTATTTGCCAATAATAATTATTTATGTTGTCTGAATTGCTTTTTAGCACTTTCAAAAGGTCATTCCACATCAGTTTGTCAGTGGCCCAGACAAACTAATCCAAGCATCTTACCAAGTCAAATACAATGCAAAAAAGATGAAAAAGTAGGTGCTACATCTTCAGATTTTGCCAAGAGTGCCTGTTTTGTGAACATGCTTGCTGAATGTGTTAGTTGGAGCTTTCCCTGTTTAGTAGTTCTAGTATTTTATACTGTAAATATGTTCAATCTAGTGCATAACATGTACAAAGTTTGATCAAGTTTAGAAGTAATTCTTCTAAAACTAGTAATTGCTATTTGTATTGGTTACAGTTACTACTTGTTTTTCCCCTGTATGACATTATAATTTTAATCTAAAAATACTTATTAAAAATGGCAAGATTTGCATAAATTATAGATTTCTGTAAATGGAGAGTGTACACAAATATAAAATTCAGTTTGAAAAATATTAGTCTTGGATTCATACTTCTGACTTTGGATTCTTCACCTCTAGAAAATTTTTCATGAAACAGTGAGGATTGTATATATTAAGATGACTGCAAATTAGCTACATCAGTTGCGTATCTTATTTCAAAATAATTTATTTCGAAATAGGGAGCATCTACACAGCACTTATTTTGAAATAGATCACTGTTCCTCTGACTTCCCTTATTTCTTGTACAATGAGGTTTACAGGAGCTGCGTAAGATGTTCTTCAGCTTGATAGTATTTTGACACTATTTTGAAATAACTGCCTGCTATGTAGATGCGGACTAAGTTCATCTCCCATTCCTTTAAGGTAACCTAGGCCTGCCTACCTACCTTTCAGACACCCTCAGAAGGGTGTGTCTCAATCTAGTACCCCTGAATCCTACCAGATGTTCCTTTGTTCCTCTGCATTCATGACACTTTCCACCCTCATAATCCAGACCATTTTTGTAGATTGGTCAGAGAGGAGTCAAAATTGTTAAAGCTAATAGTTCTGGCATTGTCTGTCAGCCATCTTTTTGTATTGTGGTAACTCAGTGTATTTATACAATCAACATCCCCATAATCATTCTGACATACAATATTAATAAATTACATGGCAGCTCAGAATTCATCAACTGCAAAAATTCAAATGAGTGCCAGTTCTAAAAAAGGTCTTTTTGTACCACACAAGTCCATGAAAACAGTTGAATGGTCAATATCCTGGGGTATTAAGTAGGCTTTAGAGTACTTACCCAAAGCCATTTAGATCAGTGAGTCTATCTGTTGAGTTCAGTGGGTTTTGATTGAGCACCAGATATTTAGCTGCTTTTATTTTACTTGAGGATGCGCTATTTTTTTTTTCAGCTAGTTTATTCTAAGGAAAAACCTATATGCAACTCTCAAGCAGTTATATTAAACAAAGTAAATGTCAACCATCTATAATGTAAACTTTTCTGTTGTAACTTGTTGGGCATATCTGTATTCCAGGAAGTACATCAGTTGTAATGTTTCTAATAAGTACTTACTATTTTTTATTTTTTAGGTTAGAAAAGGAATACACTACAATAAAAACTAAAGAAATGGAAGAACAAGTTGAAATTAAAGTAAGCATGAAGCAACAATGTAAATGTCTGAAAAGGACTTGGCTTGCGGGTGGGATACTAGTCTGATCTGGGGTATTTGCAAGGGTGGATTTAATGAGCAACTAAAATTACAATAGTTGTACTTGGGCTGTGGGCTTGAAGATGAAGCTTGTAATATATTTCTTCCCTTAATTGGAGTTCTTTTGGAAACACATCCATTATGATTTTCTATAAACAAGAAAAGTATAGAAATGTTATGAAATGCTGCTTTTTTGGCAATGAAAGCCTAGCTACAAATAAATTTGTCGCATGCTGATCTACATGTGGTTCCTCGAGAGGGTCTGCTGAAAAAATAAATGTAAGGAAAGAAGCTTAACACTCATTTTAAAAAACTGAGATGTATGAGTAGTGTGTCATCTGTTGGTGAGACATTAAATTTCTTATGTATTGAGACATGATATCAAAAGCAAAATATTGACAGATTTGTGCTCTGATCATTTTCATCCTTGATTTCTGGAATTAACTTTCTTCTCTGAAAAGTCGTTGCAAACATGGCATGTTATTACTAACTGACGGGCTTCTTATATGTATTCATTTATTGTATATGCTTGCTTTACTGATTTAAAAACAAGCTTTTGCTGTTTTTGTGCTCTGCTTAGCCTAATTGGCTGGACAGTATAGTATTGAATTTGAAATAGATTCCATTTCTTCATTGGTGTCAATATATTAACTTGCATTCATGGGCCATCACAAACACTTATCTCATTTCTCACTGCCATCTCTATTCAGCTACACATACAAATTCTGCATGTTTGTGGCACATGGTTTTGTTGCTTGTCACTAATTTAGCAGAGTCGGTGAAGATATTTTTAAATCATCGTAAGAGACTTGGAATATTGCAGTCAACTTTTGAAATCCAACCATAAGAAATGTGAACATACTTAAGTGAAAAGAAAATCAAATCTTTAGTCTTGCCAAGATCAAATATTTAAATGCAGATCATTAGGTGGATGTTAAAATCAATAACAAAATCAGATTTTTAAACGTTGCCTAGTTGCGTGTTTCTGATGTCCTTTACTTAGGTTTGGGTTTGATCCATGTCCATTTCCTTCAACCACTAAAATGAGATGTGTGAAAGAGAGCCACATCTTTTGGCTCTAAAAACAACTCCCAGTATTGTGTTAGGGGACAATCCAAGTGGTGATGGGAGATGTCATGGGGTATGCAACACATTTGCTAACTTGGGTTATGATAGGCTATTCAGGATTAAATACTGAAACTGTTTCAGATGGCTGCACAAACTTAATCTGTTTTTAGTAATGTTAATTTATTGTAACATGTATTAGGGTAATATGTCCTTTCTGAAATAAGAGAAAAGGCTGAGCATGAATAAAACAGTTCTGATACTTATAAACAAGGCATCTTTTAAAAAGTCTTCACTTCTGTGGTAGGCATCCATCCTGCTGCTTCCAGCAAGACTCCTGTTTGGAAAAGAGAGGTGAAACTCCCAATTGTTGTATTCTTTATTGCATAATCTATTCAATCCCTTCTTCCTGATGTCTGTATTGTATTCATTGCAGACTTCATTCTCGCTACAGGCACATGTGCTGCAGATGCTGGCTGAGCATTCAGTGAATAGGCAGACATGATGCTGCTCCATTTCTAAAATGAACTCCATAATACTCTTACAAACAGTCATTTTTCACATGCCAGTAAAACACACAAACAAAATAACAGCTCAGCTGGACTAACTGCTTTGTCAAACTATCTAAAGCCTATATTTAAATCACAGAAAGGGTACTAGTTTGTATGGGAGAACAAAATAGATGCCAAGATATTTTCCCCCCTCAAGGATTTAGAACAGGTTGGGATAGTAAATGAAAGGAGCAGCTGCTCTTGTGACTAAAGTGCAGGATTGGAAGCTGGGCGGTCTGGATTCTAATCCCAGTTCTGTTAGACTCTTGCGGTCTTGGCTAGTCACTTTTTGTGCCTGTTTATCTGAGGATGAGGGAAAGGGAGGGTTTGTTGTCTACTGCATATGGACATTATGTGGAAGTAATAAATACTCTGAAAATACGTTGAGACCTTTTGATAAAAAGCACTGTTGAAGTGCAAAGTTGTTATAAATGTTTGCCTACATTTTCAAGTGACTAGAGATTGAGTGTGATTGTGGGCACATAACTACGCATTCTTTATAGGAGCCTGACTTTGAGAGGGTGGATGCTCAGCATTCCCTAAAGACAAATCCTCTTTAAAATGTTGTCCAAATGAGCACTCAAAAACTGAGTTTCTCTGTATTTAGATACTTCTGAAAATTTAGGCTTGTTTGCCCATTGGGCGTGCTGGAAGAGGTTTGGCAGTACTATACTAATTGAAATAAGACCACAAACAAACCTCTAGCAATCCTAATGTGAAGATTGTTTGCTTAGTAAGTCTAAATTTGACTTGATCCTGTGTAGCTTTGAACAACTGCTTTGTTAATTATCATGATTACATGTGTAAGTGGCCATTGAAACGCCCACATTTGCTTCACATACAATTGTGGCAACTGCATGAACAAACTATGCACTTGTGCATTTGCAGATGAGATTAGAAGAGCCGTTATAGACCATTTTTGTAAGCTGGTGAAATGCCCTCTACAGCGGAGGCTGGCATTAGTCGTTTTTGGATGAGACCTGCATGAAATGTTCTTCCCATCCTTCCCACCCCCACTCACTCCTTTTCTTTCCAAGTGGTGGGGCTGTTTTTACTTTTGGTTATGATGGAAAATATTTTCAGGATAACACTAATTTTCTTAAATTCTGCTAACCAGTTTTTATTAACCTTGTCTGTACTATGCAGTCTAATTTTATAAAGCTAGTGTTGCTTACCATGGAAGCTTGAGTAGTTTTCTCTTAAAATGTTAGGCAGACCATTCTTGTGGCTTATGGTATGTCTAACACTTAATGCCCTTTGTTAGAATGCTTTGCTGTCTTTAACAAAACCAGAGTCCATATTTTCAAGGACATGTTATTTCAGATAAAAGGGGAGGGAGTGAAAGGAACATTTGTTACTACAGCTTTTTCTATTCATTTATAATATGTTTCATAGTGTGGTGATACATATTTTAAAGAAATTGGTAAACTTGTTTGGGTTTCTGCTGTCATTTGATTTGTCTGTTTTCAGTTCATATCTTGACACACACACAACTATCTTCTTTTACAGAGATTACGGACAGAAAACAGGCTCTTAAAGCAGCGCATTGAAACACTAGAAAAAGTGAGTATGTCCATAAACTTAAATATGTGATATGGGTACCTCGTAACTGTTACCCATTTACAATGTTTGCATTATTCTGCAGTATTGGCTAACTCTACTTAGCTGAATAGAACGGGAGTAACATAGTGATATAGGTGCTGCTTACAAATGCCCTGTTCCTGAAAAGGTTTAAAACCTGCTTTTAAAGGTTACTAAATGAGTAGAATTTCATATAACTTAAAAATCCCAACTTCATCTCTGAGGAACTGCGTTTCCTGCATCAGAAGGATCTCTGCAAAATACAGACATGAGTACATATGAAGTTTTGGGAGATCCTCAATTATCAAAACTCTTAAGTTTCTAGATGCTGCAGATGAGGGCTGAATGAAGAACAAGCAAATGTTCACTATGAGCTAGTTAAAAAGGGTAGAGATGAATGCAGGTTTCACCAGGCTCTATACTTCCAAAAGTTTAGTAAACAGTTGCAGTGCTCACAGTGTAATTCAGTTTGGGAAGCCTGATGCCTGGTACTCTGCCCTCTTGGATGGATGGACCTGTATTACACTAGAAAATTGGCCTAAGCAAGGAAGACTTGGCATGCTTTCAGATAGCTCTAAATATTGTAGACTTCAACTCTTGGACTTCAATACGATTCTTTAGATTTCATTTTATTTTATTTGAAAGCACATCAGATTATAAAAGTACATTGGTGTACTGCCAGAATACATAGTCCTGCAAATCCGTGGATATGGATGTGAACACTGATATTTTGTACATAGAACCGTGCAAACTTGCAGATATCCACTTTGTATCTGTGGGTATCTGCATCTGTGGATGTGGATGCAGATATCTGCAACTTATTTTTGTAGCTACAGATATGGATACAAAATTTTGTATCTATGCAAGGCTCTAAAAATACAGGTGCTGTTCTTGGATAACCTCTCTGTCCATATCCTGAGATCCTAGGTCTGATTGTAAATTTGTATCTATGATCTGGGGGTGGATTTAGAAATCTAAATGTTTTTCCTTTCAATATTTCCTTGCAATATTAAATTGTTCAGATTAAATGAAACACATGTAGAGCGGTCTTTGTGCACTAATAATTTCCTGGGGCTTTGCATTCCCTTAGGGAAGTAATCTATTTCAAATGGTAAACTGATGTGACAGTTTCTTTGACAGATGGTGTTAACTCTGTGTGTCAAATTTTAATTTGTTATAGCAATAGAGAACATGAACTTGCAAGAAAGCCATGCTGTACAAATAGGAATGCAATGTAGATTAAACAATATTTTCTTGCCAATTTTTTTGCTTCAAGAGAAGACTGGACATGTTTCCAGTTGCTAACATAGCAGCAACAGTTGCATAAAAAGTGAAGCCTATTTTTGAGACTGCTAGAGGTTGATTGCAATGAATCACTAGAAGGCTTTGAAGTGATTTTGCATTATTGAATATCTGTTTTACAAATAAAAGTAAAGAAATTTTTAAGAGCTTTGAATAAAAGTTTACTAAAACAGAGCTTTCTGTACATTGAAATATGAGTGCATTTATGTATTTCAAGCAATAGCTGTAGCATTTCATCTACAGGATATTCATATAGAAGTGATTGCTCTTAAGTGTATTTGGTTTTCCTAACAATTCTGTTAGTTTGAGAGTGATTCCCTCTTAATAGGGAAATAGCTGTACAACAGTAATCTATTGTAAACCAGTAGGTAGAGCACCTGTTGCGAGGGGGAAAAGATGTTTTTCCTTCTCTTAATGTGACTGAACTTTCTTTTGATAGGTTAGTTATATATTTTGTGTGAAAGTAGTAATTTGCATGTGGTTGTATACTTTGTCACAGAGAATCAGAAAAATATGTAAGTGCATTAGAGGAGAATAGGCTTGAAATGGCACTTGCCTAAAAGGTTCAATGTGGTTCTTTGGCTAAGCTGAAATTCCTTGGATAGAAAGCCTGTTAGAGTACTTAACTTGATTTTTATTGCAGAGCTTAAGCAAGTTTTGTTAAACTAGCAAGCTAAGTTAGTGTTACAGTGTTTCTAATGCAAACTATTAGTTCCTAAACCTGTTTTAGAATAAGTCACTGGCTCATCATGCTTGACATTTCTTATTTAACTTTCTTACTTTTACCTTTTGGGAGTCTTTGTATTTCACAAATGAGTCTGCATATAGCTGAATGATTATGCCCTCCTTTTAAGGATCGGTCAAGTACTCTACCTTCATGTTAGTGCACTGAAATATTCTGTATATTATCTAGCGTAAATGACTAAATAAAAAAATGTTCCTCATCAAAATAACCATCTCGTCTAGCTAACTTTTAAATGCTTAGTTTAGCTTCAAGGATCTCCTTATATTGTTAAAGATGGAATGCTGTAGGTTGATACAGAAGGTAATCTTTGCAGTGACTTTCAAACAAAGTTGTATTAATTGTATGAAAAGGTAGTGGAAAGTGGTTAGAATTTGACTTTCTCCTTCTTGAGTCTTAATTTGTCACTTTTACCCCTCTTCTGTTTTTGTTTTTGTTTTCCCTTATATTCCTATCTAAATTTTTTCCTTTGTAGGAAAGTGCTTCCTTGGCAGATAGATTGATACAGGTATAGTCCTTGAGTATTTTACCTTCTATCTTCCCCCTCACCCTCAAAACAGAAAACTCTGTATTTAATGCATGGATAATTACATGCATTTATTTTTAAATGTAATCCTACCTACTTAACGTGGACATAAAATATTTAGAGTTCATTAGAGTTTTCTTTATTTTTAGGTGCTAAAAATAGACAATTCTTTCATCTGCACGTTGTAATATTTTTTCTAACGTGAAATTGTTAGTGCAATTTTGTAATCCATGGATTCTGTGACATTGTATTAACACTTACCCTTAAACTGTACATTGAAAACTCTTAGCAAACTGCATGTATAACAGAATAATATTGCATGAACTGAATTCTATTGAATGCAAGTACGCAACTGAACTTGCTAAAAGATGGTAAGCTTAATTTCACAAATTAGAGCAGTACTAAACTGCTACATTTTACTAAATTATTATCAATTGTAACTAAGTTCTGTGCTGTTTGAGATTTAATATTTCAAAGTAAATGGCTAAGCATCACAAAGGCAGTCTGTCTTGGATCTGTCCTCAACTGCTTTAAAAAGAAAATTATGTCCTAAGGGACAAGTGACAAGGGCCCAGGAGGCTGAGGAAAACTACCTCATAAAACGGGAGCTAGCCACCATCAAACAGCAGAGTGATGAGGCCATTACTAAACTGGAGCAAGCTGAGAATACCATCAGGGAGCTCCAGCAGCAACAACAATGGGTAAGAAGACTGGTAGCACTTCATCTCATCTTTTTCATTCACTGATGAAATATTTTGTTAATCATACTATGTGCATTCATGAAATTATATAAAATTCAACTTGAAAGAATGATATGCTATTTAATAGCATGGGTTATGAGTTAATTCATACTTGTAAACAAGTTTAATTTAGTCTCTCTTGCACACATCAGATAAACTTGTTATATTTCCTTCAATATTTTTCTGAAGGTCTTCAAATGTGAAGTCCAGAATTTACATGAGAATGGATTGATACTACCTTTACCTAGCTTCTTGTTAAAATTTAACTTTTCTATCTACTTAAATATGTTGTTACCACCTGAGATTAGCTTTCTCTAATCTAGTCAGTAGAATGTCATCTGTAGGTGTAGTGATATGCTAAGATTTTATGCTGTACCAAAAGCACTTTACTAAATGAAGTATATTGTCTATGCTTCAGCATATTTTAGCTAATTACTTTTAGAAATCAAGTAGGTGTGTAAACTGTAGCTAAGCTTTTGTGTAGAATATGAATGTTTTACTGAGTGGTCATTGCTACAAAATGGATTTGAAGTGTCATTTCACTCTAAGCCACTCTGAGCATTGGATATTTTCTCCAGAAAGATATAGCTGTGCCTCCGCAGTCTTAATTTTCATTTAAGAAAGTTAGGTACTAGCATATAAACTCCCTTATCTCTTTAGACGGTGCAGCACAAAGTACCAGAGCTCTTGACACTTCTGGCACATGTCTAAAACAGTTGTACAATCAAATACTATCAATAAGAAACCTTATCAAATTGTAGAAAGGACTAGTTCTATTT